GCTATCTTGGTTGGGTTAATTTGCATCTTTGCTCCTGATTGGCTGGTGGGTGTAGTGGAGATATGGTCAATTTGCATATTACTCTTTTATTGTATAGGATAAATATGTGTCTATTTATTTAACATTAGAAATTTGGTGCATGAAAATTCATGCACTGGAGTGGGTGGTCCCTCAGCCTGGTCAGCTCCCTCTCATAGTCCAGGAGCTCTCAAGGTCAGGAGGTGACCCAGCAATCAGGGGAAGGTGACACCCTATCACACCTCTACTGCTGCCACTGCTGGCAGCACAAGCCTTGGCCAGCCCTGATTACCTGAGCCTCGGGCAGCCCTGAATGTCTGAGCAGCCACCATCTGAGGCTTGCCTGCACCTTGGGCCAGCCCTGGGCAGCTGGAGGGCTGAGGGGGTTGGGGGACTCTAGAGACAGGCTCTCCAGCAGGGCTGAGGGGACTGGACACCACCATCTTGTGGCTGTGGGCACTGCCATCTTTGAGGGCATGACAGTCAATTAGCATATTCCCTCCTTATTGGCTGTGGGGGCCGCCATCTTTGTGACTGTGTGGGAGTCAATTAGCATATTCCCTCTTTATAGGTAGAATTCTTTTTTAATTTTTTTATTCTCATCCAAGGATATGTTTTTATTTATTTTAGAAATAGAGAAAGGGAGGGGAAGAGAGAGAGAAATCTCAATGTGAGAGAGAAATATTGATTGGTTGCCTTTCATAGTCTGTGCCCCGACCAGAGTTCAAACTGACAACCTTTCAGTGCACAGGACAACACTCAACCAACTGAGCAACTCCAGCTAGGGTATATAACATTATTGAAATAACATTATAGACAAAAGATTAATGGTTGCAAGGGACTAGGAAAGGGGTAAGGGACCACAGTGGGGGAGAAGTGAATGTGGTTATAAAATGAGATCCTTATAATAATAGAACTGTTCTATAACTTGACTATTGTGGTGGGTAGATGAACCCACACATGATAAAATTACATAGAATTAAATATTACATGTGCATGCACACACGCAAGCTCGCATATATATGAGGTAGATCCGGGCCAAAAGCTGATAACTTCATCAGCCCCTCCTCTGACTGTCATTGCACAGAGGCCTTGTGGGTCTTTAGAACTTAATATCAATCAGAGCCAGTGCATAGTAACTGAACAAAAAGACATAGTTATTTCTCAGGATTTTTTTTTTTTTTCTCTAATTCAGTCACTTTGGGAGATGGCCACAGGTAGCTTTGAGAAGTCATGAAGGACATGTACTTGACACCTAGTTCCGATATTCATTGGTTATGAAATCTTCTTAAGTGACTCATTTTCTCTGAGCCTCCATTCCTCATTGGTAAAATGGAAACCACAGTACTTCTCAGAGTTGATGTTAGGGTGAATGAGATAAAGTACGTACCTGTATTATGCTATAGTTTGTAATATTTCATTGATTCTAAAGTGCACAATGTTTCACATTTTAGCCTCTTTTCAAGAATGAATCCTGTAATCAATGGCATGTTCCTATCTAATTGAGAACACATTTTCCTTTCTTGGTGCACATCTATACTAAGGCAATATGCTAATTAAACCGGGTCGACTGGACATCTTCAGGACGCCCAACTTCCTGCCGGACAAAGCCACAGTTCCTGGGGCAGTTGGGGACAATCAGGCCTGCAGGGGAGCAAACAGTTAGGGATGAGATCAGGCCAGTGAGAGAGAACAAGCAGTTAGGGACGTAATCAGACCAGCACAGGGGAGCAAGCAGTTAGGGTCAAAATAAAGCTGAAGTGGGGGAGCAAGTAAGTTAGGGAGCAATCAGTTCAGCAGGGGATGGCAGTTGGGGTGATCAGGATGGCAGGGGAGAGCAGTTGGGTATGATCAGGCAGGTAGGCAGGTGAGTAGTTAGGAGCCAGCAGTCCCAGATTGCAAGAGGGATGTACGACTGCTGATTTAGGCTCGATCCCCTGAAGGTGCAGGCTGGGCTGAGGGATCCTCCCCTCCCATGCATGAATTTCATGCATTGGGCCTCTAGTAAAATAATAAGAGCTCAAAGTAATATCTCAACTAATGACAGGTGCAGCCCTAGTCGGTTTGACTCGGTGGTTAGAGTAGCAGCCTGAGGGCTGAAGAGTCCTGGATTCAATTCTGGTCAAGGGTACATACTTCAGTTGCAGGCTCAATCCCCAGCACCAGTCAGGCCACGTGTGGGAGGCAACTAATCGATTCTCTCTGTCACTCCCCCTCCCTTCCATTCTCTCTAAAAACCAATGAAAAAAATATCCTTGGGTGAGGATTAACAAAAAGAAAATAATACTGACAAGTGCAGATATCATTTCATTATCAAACGAAATATGACTCTCAGTGCACCAGTAGGAAACTTCAACACTCCCTAGAGAACACTAGTGTTCTCCTTTACACATTCCATTCCTTTCTCCATTCATTATACTAACCCTTCATTCCACATCCCTTATAATTCAGTTTAGTGGAATGAAAAAGTATGAGTTTTAGAATCTAACATATTACATTTTCAGTCTTAACTGCTATGTGACATTCTGAGCATCAGTTGAGTGCTCCATAATTGTGTATAATAATATTTACCCAAAAGGATGTTTAACAGATTAAATGAGATGATACCCGTAAAACTCTTATCAGTGCCAAACATATTGTGGGTGTTCAATATCTAATCTTCTGCTGATTAATTGCCTTGAAGGAAGGGCTGATCTTCTAGATGGGGAAGTAGGGCAAATACACCCACTTCCTATTTTTGTAAATAAAATTTTCTTGGAATACAATCTTACCCACTGGTTTACATCTCTTTTTTTTAGGCCCAGTCAATGCCATTTATTAAACATGTTGAACAGCCAAAGGCTCCCATATAAGGTTTTTTTTTTTTTTTCTTCCTGTTTTGTTTTGGTTTGGTTTGGTTTGGTTTGGTTTTTTTTGGCATTGAACAGTTTCTTCCAAGAGCTTGCTCACAGGAAAGACAAAAACAGAGTAATCCTCAATAAGATAAAACAAACAGGAATAGCTGAATAGTCTACATATGAAAAACAAAGGTTAAAAAACTCAACAGACAAAAACCACACCAAACACTCATCCCATTTAATTTTATGTTACATGCACTGAGGAAACCAAGAACATCAGGCCCCAAGACAGTAATGCTCTGAGGTTCTGGTTTAGGCTCCTTCTATGTAACAGATTCATGCACACACATTCGCACATATTACTGACCCAGGCAGAAGTACACATGCATGCACAGGTGGCCAAAGAACCACAGTGGGGAATTAGGAAACGGGGGAGTGGTGGCTGGTCAAGGATATAACATCAGCTGGACACTAGGGACCCAGAGAACCTTTCTGCTACAGTAAGAGTCAACATTAAAACAAAGGCAGAAAACATGCCCTAGACAGTTTGGCTCAATGGATAGAACGTCAGCCTGAAGAGTCCCGGGTTCAATTCCAGTCAAGGACACATGCCCCAGGGTTGTAGGGGCATGCAGGAGGCAGCTGATCAATGATTCTCATCATTGATGTTTCTATCTCTCTCTCCTTCTTCCTTCCTCTCTGAAATCAATAAAAATATCTTCTTTTTTTTTAAGGCAGAACACAGGATAAATGTAGGATGCTCAGAGAAGACTGGATAGATGAAGAGGGAAAGATGCAGGGGAAGTATTGGGAAAGCAGCCTCAGAAGAGGTTTTTTTAATTGGGAATGCAGATGAGCAGAGGTAGGAATATGCTGCAGCATTACCACTGCCTCCTGTGCTTACTCTCAAGGTGGAGAAAAACTGCAAACACCCACTCTCTAGTCCTTCCCATTGCCACTCAAGGACTTTCCCAAGAACTCCCCCCAAAAAAATGACCCGCCCATATTCAAAGTTAAGCCCAGCAAATGGCCAAGCACAGAAAGCCTCAGTAACTAATCTTGGTGGAACCCAAGCCAGAGAACCCCATTACAGCTGCATCTCACCATCCCCCTCAAATGTCAAGTCCTACTCAGATCTCCTTTCCTCCTCTTTACATTTCTCTTTCTTGTAGGCTTTGGCCTTTTCCTCTTCTTCTCTAAGCTCTTTACTCCTTTCTTCAAAATCATAATCCTTTTGTTTCTCTTCCATCTTCTTGCTGACTTCAAAACATTTCTTCACCTAATGCAAAGTGGAAAGTTCCACACCCATAGACATGCCCAGGTTTTGCTGATGTTTCTTTCCATTAATGTGATCCAGGAAGTTGGATTTTTTCCATTAATGTGATCCAACACAGTCACAGATATTACAGCAATATTCTCCCACCTCGGATTGCGGTGGTCTTGGTAATGACAATTGTCTTCCCAAGCTTGGATTCCAGGTCCACTTTGTAGTTCCTATGCTGGAGAAGCTCCTCCTTAACTGGCTGCACTGATTTTCCATACTTCTTTTCTCTCTCTTCTATGAGCCTCTTCTCAGCAAACTTCTCATATTCATCTTTGCCCCACTTGTGGCAAAAGTCCAACTTTTTGGCCCACTGCTCAACACCATCTTCCCACTTGTTTACATCTTGCCTATGCCTGCTTTTGTGCTGTGATGGCAGAGCTGAATAGCTGAGACAGAGACAGTATGACTCACAAAGCTAAAAATATTTACCATCTTACAATTCATAGGAAAAGTTTGCTGATCCCTGTTCTAGATTCCTACAACATCTAAAACACGTGCCCCCTACAATTTGTGATATATTAGGCCTCTAAAGAGCTGCGTTAGATGAGAAAGGTGCATTCCTCACCCTAGAAGCCAGGGCTCTGGGGCTCTGACCACAGCTTTCACACCAGCCAAGCAGAGAGGAGAACTATGAGAATCTCTGATTAGGAAGATAAGCCAGGCCAGAGTGAACAACAAAAATGTGGTTTCCAGTCCTCCCTCACCCCCTTCACCCCACCCAACCCCCCCCCCCACACACACACACACATACACACTCTCTCTTCTATTACTGGGGTTATAAAAGCAGGAACTAGAGTGGGGAGAGACAAAAGAACCTTCCCATGAGCAGCATCGCTGGGAAAATGCAGGTTCTACTCCTTTGGTTGGTCTTCCTCTTGCCTCCTGAAGCTGGAGCTGGTGAGTCTATGATATAACTCCCTGTCCTCTGGGTCCTTAACTTCTATTCCAAATTTACTGACCCGAGTTAAAGAAGACCCTAAAATGAGAATGCAAGATCCCATGGTAAGTGTTCCAGGGGAAATCTCTACCTGAAAGAGTCATATTATTTCCCAGAAGTTAGTAACAGTTTCCTGGGGGGGGGGGGGGGGGGGATCTTGGGTGGAGATAGAAAACTGGCTTTGGAAGTACTTCTTAAGCTGCTCTCCTCAAAGTATCCATAATTCTGATTCCTGGTCCTTTTCTCCTCTGTCTTTGCTCTCATGTGGAAAAGGTCAGGATCAGGACATGAAGAAATGTTTAAATGACAATTCAGAATCAAGACTATCCATTGTGTTCTGAAAAGTAGGATTGACAGGGTGGACTGGGATAAGGAAAGCCAATGAAAAGGATATGTGGAGGGGCTGAGTTACATTACAGGTAAGGGTGAGGCTGGGGATGAGGAGTTGCCTCAGCTTTCAACTCATTTTCCTTACCTAGTGCTCTGTCTGAAGGCTTAGTTACCCTGTGTTTGGGAACCTTGGATTTTCTATTTCAGTGAAGATTATCAGTGGCATTGAGTCCAAGCCACACTCCCGTCCCTACATGGCCTATCTGAAAATCACCACGGACCAGGGTCATGTTGGTAACTGTGGTGGATTTCTCATAAGTCAAGAATTTGTGGTGACAGCTGCTCATTGTAAAGGAAGGTAAGAAAACTTTGATTTGTTCTCTTTTCATGTGAGGAGTTGTAGGAACCAGAGTTAACACAACTTTCAAGTGGCCTCAGGAGAGATTTTTGCCTAACTATCTTAAGATGGTCAGTGATATATATTGAGAGGAACTGGGCCATTGTGATTGATTAGTCATCTCCATCTCCAAAGGTCAGGGCTTTACTAATGGGCAACCCATATCAAGACAGGGCAATACTGCCCCCCTTGTTTTGGTGCCAGAGAGCTCTCTCAGTCTGCCAGGGCCTGGCCCTTCCTAAAACAGCTGTAGTACCTGGGAGGAACAGCTTTCCTCAGTAAGAACTGAGTTCCTCAGTTGGCTCTACACTGATGAAGAGGGCCTGTTGTCACTCTGCTCAAAATAGGCCCCTCTCAGGAGACTAGCACCTTTCCTGACTCTCCCCTCTCAACAGAAAAATTACTGTCATTCTCGGAGCTCATGACATAAAACAAGAAGAATCCACATGGCAGAAGCTAGAAGTCAAAGAACAATTTGTTCATCCGAAATACAACTATTTTACTAATGTCAATGACATCATGTTACTCAAGGTGCCATTCTCTTTCTTGGACTTCTCAATTCCCTCTTCTTAACCTTCTCCTGACTTGTACATTTCTCATTCTCTTCCAGCCCACTTCCTTAGGTACCACCCCCATTCCATGTCATCACCACCCCATTTGGGAAAAACTCTAGGCCCTACCCAGGGAGCCTCTTCCATTCCACATCACCAACATTCCCTGTGACTGGCAACCATCTACTCTTCCTCCCTCACAGCTACAAACGAAGGCCAAGCTGAACCATGCCGTGGGGACAGTCCCCCTGCCCAACAAGTCTACCTTTATTCAACCTGGAAAAGTATGCCGAGCAACTGGCTGGGGGAGAATAGGTGTGGAAAAGCCAGCATCAGATACTCTGAGAGAGGTGAAGTTGAGACTCATGAAGGCCAAGGCCTGCAATCACTTTATGTTTTACAATCATAACTTGCAAATCTGTGTGGGCAACCCCAGGAAGAAAAGATCACCATATAAGGTACCACAAATTTACACTTCCTCCTCATAATCAGTTTCTGGGAGACAGGGTCCTGCTAAGAGGGGGTGGATCAAAAAGTCCCCTGGTTCAGTTACTGGTGTCTACATTCATGGGTTTCTAGAACTATGGGAACTGGAATCCTCCTTCTGGGTTCCATCCTTCCATATTCAAGTCCTGCCTCTAATCTTCCTATCTAGTCTACATATAAGATATCGGGGGCAGGATCTATGTTCTATGCTAGAGAGAGAAAGAAGATATTTAAATTATGACTCCTGACTTATGACTCCATTAGGAATCAAGATTCCTGGCCTGACTTGGGTATCTTGGGGCTAGCCTGGGTACTGATAGAACCAGGATGAAGTAATAGTAGGGAGAGAAGAATGATCCCTGCTCATGATCTGCTTTTTTTTAACCCACAGGGTGACTCTGGGGGTCCCCTTCTGTGTGCTGGAGTGGCCCAGGGTATTGTGTCATATGGACATACAGATGCAAAGCCTCCTGGTGTCTTCACTCGAATCTCCCCCTATGTGCACTGGATTAATAAAATCTTAAGGCGCAAGTAGACACAGAAGCCTGGCCAGACTCAGGAAAAATCCCAAAGCCAGAGCTCTCCCTGGGTAGCCCCCAGGTTCCACAGGAGCCTGGACAGAGCCCAAGACCAGGGAGGCTCCCAGAGGTAGCCAAAACCCCTGCTGGTTGTATCCCCAGCAAAATTCAATAAAATTCAGCCTCTGGCACATGTGTGTGAGACTGTTTCTTCCCCAGAGCTCCCCCAAAGACCAACTTCTCCAAAGGGAGGAGGTCAGGTCCTCTTCTCTAGTGGGAATGAAGAATTTTGCTGGGCTCCTTTCTTGCCAGACTAATAACCAAGCCTATCAATTTCCATAAACATTGTGTGGCGCTATGGATTATTATAGAAAATATTTTAATCTGTACAATACCACTTAATATCCAGAGTAATATTGGTACTGAGTGACCTTCTTTCTCCTCTGTCCCCTCTTCCTCTTCCTCTTTCTAATACCCTTCTCCTCTCACTTCTCTTCTTCCCTCAAACCCATGCCTCGGCCACTGCACTACAGGACACAGATGAGCCATAGCAAATTCTCCATGACTATTTCTGAAGATGTGCCAATGCCTGGGTTTATGTCTTTACATCCATCTCTGCCTCATGATCGTCACCTCAATAGTGTGTTTACAGCCTCAGAAGCATCTGCCAAGTGGGGAAAAAAAGAAAATTTCCCAAGCATGAGAGCTCAGGATAGTAAGGTGAAGGAAAGATAACCCTTGGAAGTACTCAGGATGTGTCTGTCTACCTCAACAGTCACAATGGGCTGTATAAGGGTCAAGGCCATTCTAGCTCAGGAGGGGGATCCCCAAGAACATCAAAGTGAGCCTCATCCCTGAATTACATCAGAGTCACCCAAATTCAATTGTCATCTTCCTTCAGATATGATATGGTGTCTCCAGGTCTTCCAGAAAAAGAATACCTGAGTTAGGCAAAGTCCTCCAAATTTTCCTTCCATATGGCCTTAAATGCTCTGAATCCCATACCCACCAGCATCTGAGCTGGGTGAGTACACTCACAGGTATACACATCAAATACAAGAGGAACAGAGCGTGACCTCCAGCTACCTCTCAGGAGCCTGCAGTGAAAGGACCTCTTACAGGCCCTTGGTCCCTAAGAGGCCTAAGAAGATAGGCCTGGCCCCGTGCAAGAAAGAGTTGCTACTGTTGGTCCCAGATCAGGAACTCCAGAGCTCCTCCACTTTCCCCACTGCCCACCAGCCCACAGACCTAAGCTTCCAGCTTTGCCAATGACCAATACGTATAAGAATTTTGCTGGGCTCCTTTCTTGCCAGATTAATAACCAAGCCTACCAATTTACATAAACATTGTGTGGTGCTATGGATTATTAAAGAAAATAAAAAGAGAATAATATGTACAAGCCTGATTATAGACTGACTCTATGCAAAAAAAAATCATATGTACAACAACAAAACTTGGAAGATCTCAAAAATAAGAGAACATATGCTGAAATGATAATATAAAGATGTTTTTTTCTTTTTATCCTAACTCATGTTTTACACTTGTATTTACACTTGTATAACTAAATAAGAATTTTTAAATGTGAGATACAAGAGGAAGAGACACTGTGTAATATTTGCTTAGGAGATCAGAGCACATACTGAATTGCAGCTAAAACCCCATCCATTCTTGATCCCCATACCCGAAGGACAACACATCCACAACGCAGCCCTTGTTCCCTCAAAGCTGGACAATGGAGATGTGAGGAGAGTAGTCAGCCTGTCCTGCCAGCCCCAAGAAGTAGCAGGGCCAATGGAGACTGCAGGGAGCTTGACTGAGCCCACAGGCTATACTGGACTCCAACAGATTGACAGGCACTGACTTCAGTACAGCCACTGCAGAAGACCAAGTGAGCATCACATGGTCCCCTGACATGGAAAAAGGCAGTTGGTGGCTGTCACCCAGAGAAGATAAGCGTATCAACATCGCCATGGTGTTAGTTCTGCCATGCAGATAGGCCCACAGAGTGTGTCCGCCTGACCGACATCAAGAATGATAAAGTCTCAGCATCACAGGGTCAGCAGAAGAAACTGTCCAGATAAGAGGGCTTTGCCCAAACTCATGGGAAGTGGGCCTCAGGACAGCTGAAGGCCGCACACAGGGAAATAAATGACACAGTAGGTAAATGTTTCTCCTCCCATGGCCACATCAAAATTACAGCTAAACTACAGAGAAACCATCATTGAGAACTGCCTGTAGGCTAGAAGTACAGAACTCTTATAACTGAAAATAAGCCATGTAGAGACTGGTAGGAGGGATGGAGACACTGAATGGGCTGATCTGGTTAAATATCAGGAAGGATATCTGGACTGCAGAGGTCCCCCCACCCCCCTGAGGAGCCAGGAGTCCCAGCCCCTCATTGGGTTCCCCACCCCGGGGTTCCAGTGTCACAAATGATGCAAACAAAGGACGGACTTGGCAGGCACCAGGGCCCTGCTCAAGTGGATTCTGCTCTATAGAGTTAGCACCTGCACAACTGTTCCTCCACTACAGTCACAGTCAGTTCTTACAACCAATCAACCTGAGGGTCAAGCCCTCCCATTGATGTGTCAACAATGATCAAGGCTAAACTGTCAGGGCCAGCTGAGGTAGGGAGGTGGGAACTGAGAAAAGAAAGAAAGACAGGAAAGTGGGATTGGGAGGGTTGCAAGCCATTGACAGACTGCAGCAGCTTTATTAACTGTGCAATGCTTTTTATACACAAAACACTGAATAGGAGGTCTGTCAAGAGGAATGTATTTTTTGTTTCTCTTAATCTCTAAGGGAGAGATAGAGCAGAAGGGCAAATTCTCAATACAGCAAATCTCAATAGTTACAGACTTCTTGGTAAGCCATGAAAGGTGGCTCTCATTCTACTCATAACTGCCATCCAAACAAGCCTGGAAAAACTGTGTGGGTAGGGGAGCAAGCCCTGCTAGTCCCTTCGGGTGCAAGGACGATGTCAACTTATACCTGGTCTCCAACACAAAACTACAACAGAAGGACACACACAATCTACCCAAGGGACATACCTGGAGCACCCCACTCAGGTGTCCAGGGAGACTGCATCACTGGGCCCCAGTGAACACCTACTATATAAGACCACTCTACCAAGACCAGGAGACATATCAGCTCTACTTAATACATAGAAACAAATACAGGAAGGAAGCCAAAGTGATCAGAAGAAGGAGAAGGAGGAGGAGGAGGAGGAGGAGGAGGAGGAGGAGGAGGAGGAGAATACAACTCCAGAAAAAGAACTAAACAAAATGGAGACAAGCAATCTATCAGATACAGAGTTCAAAATACTGTTTATAAGGATGCTCAGTGATCTCAGTCAGAATTTCAACAAGGATATAGGAAACATAAAAATTAAGATAAAAAAAACATAAAAAAGAGCTAATTGGAAATGAAGAATACAATAACTAAAATGAAGAATATATTAGGGGGGCCCTGCCAGTATGGCTCAATGGTAGAGCATTGGCCCACAAACCAAAGGGTCTTAGGTTCAATTACCAATCAATGGCACATACCTGGGTTGCAGGCCGATCCCAGGCCCTGGTCAGGGCACATGCAGGAAGCAACTGTCTCTCTCACATAGATGTTTTTCACTCTCTCACTTTCTTCCTCCCTCTCTCTTTTCTTACCTGCCTCCATCCTTTCCAAAAAAAAAAAAAAAAATCAATGGAAAAAAATATCCTTTGGCAAGGATTAACTAAAAAAAAGAATATATTAGAGGGAATCAATAATAGATTTGGAAGATAAGATAGCAGAAAACACCCAATCAGAGCATCAAAAAGAAAAATGAATTCAAAAGAATAAGGACTGTTTAAGAGGCCCTTGGGACAACATTAAGTGTTACAACATTCACATGATTGGGGTATCAGAAAGAGAAGAGAGGGAGAGCAAGGAACTGGAAACCTACTTAAAGAAACAGTGATGGAAAACTTCCTTAACCAGGTAAAGGAAATAGACATACAAGCCCAGGAAGCACAGAGAGTCCTACAGAAAGTGAATCCAAAAAGGCCCATATCAAGATACATCATACCATGTGTACCAGTTAATAATGCAGATTTTTTTTTCAATAGATGGAGTTATACATATGTTGATATGCAATTTGATAAGTATGCTATTTTGTTGATTGACAGCAAGCTTCAAAACTTCATATGTCAAATTTTTTTAAGGTGTTAACATAATAGATATTTTTGTGCTTAAAAATGTCAAATTTCATGCCAAAAAAAAAAAAAAAAAAAACATTTGCGGGAAGTTTTAATTCATTAGTTAATTTTGAATAAAAGTGCTGTTGAAAGTTATTGTATACTTCAGGAAGCTTATGGTGAACACCATCCAACAGTAGCTATTGGATTTGCCACTGGAGTAGTGGCATTGTGTGGTCGCACACACAAGCAGTGAGAGAGTGTCTGAACTCTGGGAGTGCATTGTGAATGGGGTCTGAGTTACATGTGTGAGTTGAGAGTCAGCAGACACCCGCCCTACAGAGCTGCTTCCCACGGGTAGGCTTGGCTGCCCACTTTCAGGCAAAGAAAGGAAATTGCAGAGCTCTTCCACTGATTAGACTTCCAAATCTTGCTTCTCATTGCCCTCAGAGTTGGCTCCAGTAGCATATTATCTGTAGGACAAGAGCTATTGCAGTAGAAATACAGTTTACTCTGTGACTGAACCCCAGGAGGGGTGTTTCAGCTGGACCTATGGAGGTCAGGGGTTGCCATTATTATCAGGGAAAAACAAACCTCATTCCCAAGTAACAGAGGTAGTATAGCCCTATGAAAGCTTCAGAAGCTCAAACCTGTGAGGCCACAGAGGATACAAATCTTGCAATTCAGGACCATTTACTGGAACAGAGCAGAAAGACCTCCTCAGGAATAATGGGAAAACAAGGAGAATAGCAAATGCCACGAACAACCACAACAACAACAATGATCAGAAATAAAATGAGAAATCCCCAGAAAATAGGTTGGAACATATGGAATTATGCAAGTTG